GGAGTTAGGAAGAATGAAGATTCTGGAGAAGGAAAGTTTCGAAAATTCACCAAATCAGAAATTTGTAGATTGGGCATTGATTTAATAATGTTGACAGCTACACTTGAAAAATAATCATTAAATTCGTTTGAGGTCAAATTATCGGAATAACATTTTTGTTTGGTTTTGTTCCTATGAAAATTTACAATGTTCCAACTAGCCTTGGATTTATTTTCAGCTTCAACAATATATGCATCATTTGCAGCTTTTTTTGCATGCCTGAGTTGCATATTGTAATGTTTCCTGAGAGTTTTAAAGTTATTTATATCTTGAGGAGCCTTTGTACTATCACAGATAGTTTTCAGAATTGCTAAAGTATCCCTAAGCTTCCTTAATTTGTCATTGAACCAAGGAACGGGTTGTAAATTGAAATTTGGTTTATTCAATTTCATCGGAAAAATGTCATCAATTAAATCGTTATAAGTTGTAATTAACAGAGAAGACAGAAAATCTACATCCAGGTTTGAATCAAAAATAGTCCAGTCAGCTTTGAGCAGAGAAGAGCGCATTTTATTCATCCCATTACTAGTGATTGATCTTGTTAAAATCGGTTTTTGAGTTTCTTTGCACCCTTTGCCAGTTGAGTGGAAAAAAAATTGACCTGCATGGTCAGAAAATAATGGATCAACTAAACCTGCATTGTACAAACTAGCATTCAAATTTGTGAAAATGTTGTCAAGGCAACTAGATTTAGAAGCGGTGATCCGGGTCGCTTCCTCTATCACTATATTCAGTCCATACGAATCAAGAATACCTTTGAGGTCATGCAATATACGCGTTTCCACCAAAAAATCAATATTGAAATCGCCAAAAAATATAATTTTTCCAGAAACATTAGCAATTTCATCAAGAAGATTTTCAAAATTTTCGAGAAAAATTCTCTCATTACCCTTACAGGATCTATAAACGGTTATTATTGTAATTTTCAATTGAGGCAAATTGATTCCACAAAATTCAGATTGGCCTTTCTCATTGAACTTATCAAAGTTTAAAATTTTTGTTTTATAACTATTTCTCGAAAAAATGGCTACTCCACCATGCTCAATATTTAAACTACGACAGTAAAAAGATTCCAGTTTGTATTCTGGAATATTCACTTGTTTCAGATTTTCCTCACACTGCCAATGTTCAGATATCAAGAAGAAATCAAATGGAAATTCATTGAGAAAAAATTCGATCTGTTCCAGTTTATTACCAATACTCTGAACGTTAACATGGAACATACTCACCGAAAGTCCATGTTGGTGATAATTTTGAAAAAATCTCGCTAAAGATTTGGTCATAAAATTGTCATTAGGTTTAATGAGCTCCCACTGTCGCTGTTTGAACATCATGCTGGGACAGATTGTTTTTTCTTGAGGTGAAAAAACCTGCTCACACATGCACCCTTTGGCCATACTTTGGGATCCATCGCGCCTTCGAAGTTTTCTTCATATATTTTCACTTTATATGATGAATATAGATGAGGATACTTAGATGTTATAGATTCACATACTGCTTCCGGAAAAGATTTCTTTAGCAGGTTCGTAAGTTCCTCCACTGTTGTTTCAGTTTTCACCCTGTATACATGTAACTCAGCCATTCTGGGAACACCTTTAATTTTGGCCTCAGTATTACTTCCAACTATAGTCAGCCGTCTTTTTCTATTGTTCTTGTTGTATGTAATTTTTTTCCATGGAATGTTATTCTCCTCCTCATTTTGAGATTGGTTGACCTGGTATTCAACACCCGATGACGAGGCATCGTCATTCACCAGGTTAATCACTTCTCGAAACTTTTTTGCAGTTTCGATTTCCAGTATATCTGTTGAAAGTTGTTCTCTCGTTATCTTGGAATCCCCCTTTTTCATCTCCGTTTCTTTTCTGACGTTCACAGTTGATAAGACGGGTTTTTCGAGAGGTGCCAACTGATTTTTGATGGGCCATACTTTTTTTGTTATCTGCGTCTGCTGCTTGTGGGGATTATTATTTTCTAACAGTTCTATTTGTTTATATAGGATATCTATTTTGTCACGCAATTCATTTATCAAAGAGTCTTTTTGTTTTATAATATATAAGAAGATTTTATTGTCAAATTTACCACTGCTTGAGCATTCTTCCATGGCATCATAGAATTCTGAGTCAGGAATCACACATTGTTCACATTTAAAATCCTTACAGTCACTGTTTTCTTCAACATTAACACATTTGAAGTGAAGACGACTATTACACTGAACACATGTTACACCATTTACAATTTTTTTATTGCATTTTTTGCACTTTTGAGACATTTTAAGTGAGAGATCGCTAGACACGTCTATACCTCCAGCCGCCATAGCTGAACTGATGGCTTCCGTCATCAGAGATCAACGGTGACCTGCTCGCTCACGTCTCACATATATGGCAGCAATCTATTGAAAAATATGGTGAAACGTTAGCCGTGGCACTTGATATCTCCAAGGCATTCGATCGAGTCTGGCACCACGGACTCCTCGCCAAGCTTCCATCTTATGGCTTGCCTCCCCAGCTATGTTCTCTGCTAGCTAGTTTTCTCTCAAACAGGTCTCTCCATGTAGTGATCGACGGAGTTTCATCTGACTCTCTTTTCATGAATGCTGGTGTTCCGCAAGGATCAATTCTAGCACCAACACTATTTCTACTCCATATCAACGATTTGCTAGAAGCAACTTTATGTCCAGTACACAGCTTCGCGGATGATAGTACCCTCCATACCGCCTTCTCTTTCAGGGCTCCAATACCAGCCAGACGAATCAGAAACGAACGAGGGAGAAATGTTGGCTACATGAATATGGACTTGGCAACAATTCTCGAATGGGGATCCAATAACTTGGTAGATTTCAATGAAAACAAGCATGCCTTTTCTCTAGAAAAGCCGATCACATACTGTGCCCAACATAATAAGCGTGTCAGGAGTAACCATACCTTTGGAGACATATCCATTTCGATGCTTGGTTTTACTATCAGGGATTACCTTTCTTGGGAAAATCACCTGAGATCAATTGCTAAAAATGCATCCCAAAAACTTGGTTTTCTGTTTCGGGCCAGGAACTATTTCACTTCCAGTCAGCTGCTTATGATCTATAAGGCACAGATCCGACCTGTCCTGGAATACTGTTCCCATATTTGGAGTGCAGCACCCAAACATACCCCGAAACTGTTTGATTCTGTCCAAAAAAGGGCAATTCGTCTCGTGGGTGATGCCTCGCTCACAAACTCACTCACTTCTCTGGAACACTGTGGAAAAGTTGGCGATCTGGCTCTATTTTATAGATATTTTCATGAACGATGCACTTCTGAAATATCAACAATTGTTCCTTCCTTGGCAGTACCCGCAAGATTAAGCCGTCGTAAAACATTGATGGAGTAGTTATTTACACTGATAAGAAACAAATATATATCCCATTAATTATTCAATGCAACACGCTCCGAATTCTTTCATGTTCCTCCATTTTTATTTCATGGACGGCAAAGTTAAAAAGACGTAGAATTTTATAATTTTCAATATACCTTTATTCGTCTTCAAATATGTTGAACAACAAAGTGTCACTGAATATTGACTAAATGTCTCCTCCAAAATTTCCAATAGGTAGTGAAATTTCATATGCAGTTACATAATGGGAAAAATTCTTCTGATTTTCCACTAGTACAAGATATATTGAAATAAAACTCAAATTTTATTTTTTTTAACGAGAAAACAAAATCACAAAAAATATAAGTATAAATATTTCACCTCCTCGATTAACATTGCTATGAATATAATTGTGTTATTATCGTAAATTGCATTATAGAGGTAATTTAATTAATTTCAATATTATATTATTATTATTGATTAACAAATATTTCACAATTTTAACACAAAATTCCATGACAAAAGTGACCACAAGGATCTTTAACAATGAACTGAACCTCAATCCTCAACCATTACAACATATAAGCAGAAATTTGAGGTTATTTAATTGATTAATTGATTCAACAATAAAATCAATAGTGAGATCAATATCACAAGATAATTCGTGATCAGATTTTCAAGACTCTGATACAGTGGCAAAAATAGGACATAAAGTCAAATATTATAATATTGTATGTATAACTTCAAAGTACAGCAATAAATTATTACAGAAAACATCACACGTATTTCAACACAATAAAAGTGCAATTCAAGGCATAAATGGAAAACAAAAGGCGACTTAAAATAATTGAGTTTGTACAACCCGAAAATTGATCTTGGATATAATTCTTTCTTTATTCTATGTCTTTCTCTCTCTATCTCTTTCTCTCTCTATCTATATACCGGATGACATGTTCCGAAGTACATCTAATTGTAATATTTCGGAATCAAACCAAATGTACCCCATCGAATATATTTATCGTATTTCTCCATATGCATATTACTCAAAATGTATCAGTCGATTTGATGTTAACCCCCAAGCAAGGCTGTTTAAAATTTTATTTACCGTCAAAAATAATTAAAAGTGCTCATGAACTTTCTGTCTCTTGTGATTTTCACGCATCTGCAGCCATATCAGACAAACCTAAAATAATTTTTTGTCATTCGCTCGATATGATTGATATTTTCTACAAAAAAAGTTTATGTGATTAGTGAAAAAGGGCTTTACCCGTAAAAAAATGTCTCCCTGTAGAATCTTACAATCACTCTTCCACTCGGCATACTGTACGATGAGAATCCTGAGACGGTAACTTTTGTTTCAAATTTGATCTGAATATTTCGAGAACTAAGAGAGCTAAAAAAAGTACTTTAACGCTCGTTCTTCTTCTTGTCCAAAATCTTCAGGCATTTTTCGATTCCAATACATTCGTGAGTTTGCCTTTGTAGTGCATTTTGGACCAGGAAACTAACTCATACCTCCCAACCATATCCAATTTTTTTTAGTTTGTATATCCTGGATCGTTATTCGCCATTGTACGAACAATTTTTAATCTATAGAATTTTCCTTACCGACAAATATTGAGGTCACTGAACAGACAGTATTTTATACCTCGCCTACTAGGTTTCCATTCACAACGACAAAGCCCGGTGCAATTCCACGCGGAAAGTCTGAAAAACGAAGTTTCCGACATACAGGTACCTATTATTACAAATTTTACCAAAAAACGAGGCTCCTACAACAACGTTTTCCTACCAAATTCACAATTTCCTTAAACACCCTGGTTCGTCGCACACCCTTTTGTAAACCTTGAAATGCTTGAATATACCATCATAAATAACCCTGATTTGCAAAATATCTTCCTGACTAGAAAAACCCCCATCGTCCCCCATTTTCGTCCAAAATCGTTAGGCATTTTTCGATTGTTGTCATCCATTCATAGGTTTCCGGGTAAAGAAGAAAAGATAGCGAGAGTTTGCCTTTGTAGCGCATTTTGGGACAGGAAACCAACACATATCTCCCAACCATATCCAATTGTTTGTAGTTTTTAAATCCTGGATCGTTATTCGCCATTTTACGCACAATTTTTAATCTACAGTGTGTCCCACTTACTATGTTCACCATGCGTATCTTTTTAACGGTGAGAGAAACGAGGTCGGTTAAATGACACCAAATGTGGTGTTTGTCAAGGCCAACCATAATGTGAAAAAATATTCTGAAGAAATCTATTCGTTTTTGTTTTATATGCAAAAAACAGATTTTGATCATTTTCTTGTCTCCTCCGTAACTTCTTTATTTATAAAAATATTCAAATAGGAATTTCACATTCTCATGGCAGTTTTTCAAAGTGATTTCGAAAAAAATATAAAATTTATACCAACTCCTCTAGAATTTGAGATATCAGCACCAACTTTAGTTTTTCAAATGTAGGTCATAGCTCACTATGACTTAGTTACGAATAACTTTTTATTCTCTTACAGATGATATGTCGCCGTAATAGTTTTGTGTTGATAACAACGGAGTTATCGTCATTTATACAAAAACAAAAAATTATTTGAAAGCCACCATCTTGAATTTATAAACTTCAACAAAAAATCATGATCTCCGACATCAAAAACCCCCACTTACCTGTTTTGAATGGAATCGGACCAAATCTTGTCCGCCATCTTGGAGCAGCCATTTTTTTAATTTCAACAAAAATTTCATAATGTATTGTGGACAAGATTTGGTCCGATTGCATTCAAAATTGGTAAGTGGGGGTTTTTGAGGTCGGAGATCATGATTTTTTTGTTAAAATTTATAAATTCAAGATGGCGGCTTCCAAATAATTTTTTGTTTTTGTACGAATGACGATAACTCCGTTGTTATCAACACGAAACTATTACTGCGACATATCATCTGTAAGAGAAAAAAAAGTTATTCGTAACTAAGTCATAGTGAGTTATGACCTACATTTGAAAATCTAAAGTTGGTGCTGATATCTCAAATTCTAGAAGAATTAGTATAAATTTCATATGTTTTTCGAAATCACTTTGAAAAACTGCCATGAGAATGTGATATTCCTATTTGAATATTTTCATAAATAAAGAAGTTACGGAGGAGACATGAAAATGGTCAAAATCTGTTTTTTGCGTATAAAACAAAAACGAATAGATTTGATCAAAATATGTTTTCACATTATAGTTGGCCTTGACAAACTCCACATTTGGTGTCATTTAACCGACCTCGTATCTCTCACCGTTAAAAAGATACCCATGGTGAGCATGGTAAGTGGGACACATGTATAGAATTTTCCTTACTGACAAATATCCTAGTAAAACAAAAGAGCTATTGACATTTTTCAGTAAACCAGCACCACTGACAAGCAGAAATATTTCGGGTCACTGAACAGACAGTATTATACCTCGCCTACTAGGTTTCCATTCACAACGATAAAGCCCGGTGCAATTCCACGCGGAAAGTCTGGAAAACGAAGTTCGCGACATTTAGGTACCTATTATTTCAAATTTTCCCAAAAAACGAGGCTCCTACAACAACGTTTTCCTACCAAACCCGCAATTTCCTTAAACAACCCTGGTTCGTCGCACATCCTTTTGTAATCCTTGAAATGCATAAATACACTATCATAAATAACCCTCATTTGCAAAATATCTTCCTGACTAGGAAAACCCTCATCCAAGGCGTCTAAATTCTCGTTGAGTCTAGCGTATTTTTTTTCGTTCAAAATCGCTAGGCATTTTTCGATTGTCATCCATTCGTAGGTTTCCGGGCAAAGAAGAAAAGATGGCGAAAGTTTGCCCTTGTAGCGCATTTTGGGACAGGAGTGGATGTAGAAGCCCATGTAGTAGCTGTTGAGCTCTGGGAGGGTTTCGCTGAAGGATCTTGTCAGTTCTATTTCCCTGGAATATGAAAGTTCACTGTCAAAAAAATTTTACTTTCTCAATATAATAATGATAATAATATTAATAGACTAGCTGACCCGGCAAACGTTGTTTTGCCATAACATTATTGCTAGAAAAAATGTTTTTACATAAATATTTATCAAACTTTCATTATTCTATTTATACTTCTTTTTAGTTCGGCTATCCATGAAAACGCACTTCTTTTTAGTTTGGCTATCTATAAAAACGTGTTTCATTAGTTTTTCAATCTACCAGGTTGTTCTGCTATATACATTTTCTCCTAGAAAATATTTTTTTATTCAAATATTCATCAACACACTTTCATTATTTTGTTATGAACTTCTTTTCAGTTTGAATATCCATGAAATCGTGTTTCATAAGTATTTCAAACTACTATTTTTATTTTCTACTTCTTTTTAGTTCGACAATCTATCTCGTTTTTCAAACTATACTATCAATTTTACTACTCCTATTCAGGTTGGCCTCGAGGTTGGCTATCCATATAAAAGCGTGTTTCATTATAGTTTTTCAAACTTCTATTTATTACAGAGCTCTTTCACCATATTGGATCCGCCATCTTGAATTTCCCAATTTTAAAGAATAAAATCATAATCTCCGACCCAGAAAACCCCCAGATACAGATCTGAATAGAATCGGATCATAATTACAAAACTCGTCCGCCATATTGGATCCTCCATCGTTAATTCCATAATTTTGATGGAAGAATCATAATCTCCGACCCGAAAATCACCCATATACAAATTTTGAATGGAATCGGATTATAGTTACAAAACTCGTCCGCCATATTGGATCCGCCATCTTGAATTTCCAAATTTTGACAAAAGAATCATTATCTCTCCGACCCCGAAAACCACCCGATACCAATTTTGAATAGAATCTGACTATAATTACAAAACTGGTCCGCCATATTGGATCCGCCATATTGAATTTTCCCATTTCGACAAATGATTCATATCTCCGACCTCAAAAACCCCCAGATACCAATTTTGAATAGAATCTGACAGAACTCGTCCGCCATATTGGATCCGCCATCTTGAATTTCCAAATTTTGACAAAAGAATCATTATCTCTCCGACCCCGAAAACCATCCGATACCAATTTTTAATAGAATCTGACTATAATTACAAAACTGGTCCGCCATATTGGATCCACCATATTTAAGTTTCCCATTTCGACAAATGATTCATATCTCCGACCTCAAAAACCCCCAGATACCAATTTTGAATAGAATCTGACAGAACTCGTCCGCCATATTGGATCCGCCATCTTGAATTTCCAAATTTTGACAAAAGAATCATTATCTCTCCGACCCCGAAAACCATCCGATACCAATTTTTAATAGAATCTGACTATAATTACAAAACTGGTCCGCCATATTGGATCCACCATATTGAAGTTTCCCATTTCGACAAATGATTCATATCTCCGACTTCAAAAACCCCCAGATACCAATTTTGAATAGAATCTGACAGAACTCGTCCGCCATATTGGATCCGCCATCTTGAATTTCCAAATTTTGACAAAAGAATCATTATCTCTCCGACCCCGAAAACCACCCGATACCAATTTTGAATAGAATCTGACTATAATTACAAAACTGGTCCGCCATATTGAATTTTCCCATTTCGACAAATGATTCATATCTCCGACCTCAAAAACCCCCAGATACCAATTTTGAATAGAATCTGACAGAACTCGTCCGCCATATTGGATCCGCCATTTAGAATTTCCAAATTTTGACGAACGAACCATAATCTCCGACCCCGAAAACCCTCAGATACCAATTTTGAATATAATTGGATTATAATTACAAATCTCGTCCGCCATATTGGATCCGCCATTTTGAATTTCCTAATTTTGATAAAAAATCATAATCTCCGACCTCGAGAACCCCCAGATACCAATTTTGACTGGAAACTGACCATAATTACAAAACTCGTCCGCCATATTGGATCCGCCATCTTGAACTTCCAACATTTGACGAAAGAATCATAATCTCCGACCCCGAAAACCCCCAAATACCAATTTTCAATGAAATCGGAAAACAATACTCGTCTGCCATATTGATAGATAGATAGATAGATATTTTATTTGTCTTTTAGGTGCATTCATAAGAATACAAATAAGATACGTCACATATACATAAGTTATGAATATTACAAAAACTAGTGGCTAAGACTAGAGATTTACAGATGAAGTTAAAAATTAAAAACTAAAAAAAAAAGTGTGCATACAAACATACGAGAACAATATGATGTATAATCAATGATAAAAACTGAGTAAAATGTAGTGAAAAAGTAATTTATAAAAGATAATGCACCAGGAATAATATACCCCATGGTTATTTATTTTGTTGTGGATGTTAGGGCCGCTATATATTCTCCAGTAGTATAAAATACATTGGAGGTCAAATATGAGTGCATGTGTTTTTTGAAACTTTTGACACTCAGAGCTTTGACGTAAGTGGGTAGTATATTGTAAAGATTTACATTGAGAGAGTTTCTACTTGATTTTTGTAATCTGAATTTAGATGGTCTTATCAATTGAGAGCCTCTAGTGTTGTAAGTATGGAAATCAGCATTCTTTTCATGATTATTCTTGTTTTTATGTATTTCTAAAATAGATTGATAGATATATATGGATGATAAAGTCATGATACTGAGTTCCAGGAAAAGTGGTCTACAGAAATCGGTAAACCCTGACCCACAGATTATCCTCACTGCTTTTTTTTGTAAGAAGAAAACTTCGTTAGCTTTCACGCTATTTCCCCACAGTAATATACCATATGAGATTCGTGAATGGAAGAAAGCATAATAAGCTGATAATAGAACCTGCAAACTAATGATAGTCTTCAGTTTACGGAGTAAAAATAAGTATTTTGAAATATTTGTTCACAGCTGCTCTGTGTGACCTGACCAGTTTAATCTGTCGTCCAGTGTAACACCTAACAGTTTGACGGTATCACCAAATGCTGTTGAGTTGTTCATAGAAAATAATATATGTTGTGTTTTACTTTTATTCAATTTAAGATTATTACTTTTAAACCAAGTTTCCGCTTTAGCTTGAGCCAGATTTATATTTGCTAACGAACCAATTGTATTTTCACTGGAGCTGGTGAGAGTTGTATCGGATCTGCCATCTTGAATTTTCGATTTAAAAAATAGATTACGACCAATTCTCATACCTACCGAATACGCACAAAAAATTTCATACGAATTTTATATATTAGATTGTATTATCCCTTCAGACAACATATTAAAATTGTATAGGACTAGTCAGACATCAGTTAAAATAAAACAAACAGATATTCACAGGGTTACTTCTAATTCAATACATTCCTTTGGAGATTTTATAGGGAAGGTGGTAAGGATTAAATTGAACCCTAATATGCATTATGCAAAAGTTAATAGTTTTTGAGATATTTGATTTCTTTTGTTTTTCTCCAAGAGATACACTTTAAGGGTTTAAAAGTTAGTTTCCCGAAAAGGGGCTCTACAGTTCTTCAAACTTTCAACTAGAATGTTTGGAATGACAAAATTACAGAAATAATTTTGATTATAGATAAATTGTAGATACAAAGTCGTATTTTGGCTCGTGAATTGTGGATTTAAACCACATTCTAGCGATTATTTTTAGAAAAATCTCTAAGCCACATATGTCAAAAATTTGTAAAATCTTCCTTAAGTCAATAGCTATCTAACTGGGTACAAATGATAATAGAAGTGCTTGATACGGGTTTGCTATTTTACATGAATAGTAAAAACGTACCTAATATTAGTATTCACATTTTACAAATCCTGTTCAAAATGAGACCTCTATTACGAATACATGCTCGGCAGCGTCTTCTTAGTTTCGTATTTGTTATTCTAGTTCTTAAATCATTTTGTATGACTTAATTTCCAATCAACAAAATTTTCACTAGTAATACCACTAGAGGTCAAATTATTTCCGGACATTTTTTCGATCTCATGGATATTTTGGAACTTATTCCGAGTAATTTTAGCCTTCCATAACGCCTTTCACTGGCCCAGGTAGTGGTATGACATTCTATTATAATAGATGCCAGTTTGGGCATCAATGGATTCTTAGCCTATCAATTGTTGATTTCTACCCAATTGAAGTGGCACAAAATCACTATTTCAGGACGTCAAAATATTATTCTGTCATTAAAACGTCATAAAAAAAATTCCGATTTCATACGCTGGTGGGTACCCACGAGAAGACAATTTCCACTAATACATACGTTGCTATGGTAATTTGTCATAAAACCCACCAATTTAACTGTATAAAAGTCACTGGTGTGGAATTTTCACTCATAATATCACGACAGCTTTATCTTTATTATTATTCCCAAGAAACATACATGTTTATAGCAGGGAAAATTATGAAAGAGCAACTAAAGAGACTGTTAAATATAATTTCTTGAATTGATTCAGGATGACATGAAGAGAATCAAAGACATAAGTATTTTTTCAGTTCTTTTTTGAATTTTTCAACACTAAATTTTTTCTTTAGTCTGGCAGGTAATTCATTATAGAGAATTGTTCCATTGTATAAAATAGATTTTTTCCCATATCTGATTTAATTTTGATGAGAGTTAACATATCTTTTTGTCTGGTTATGTGTTCGTGTTTATGACTATTGACTTCAAAATTCAGATTTGAATGTTTATAATTATATTTGACGGAATGGATGAAATTCAATATTTTGAATTTGTAAATGGAGTTTATATCTAACAATTGCCTAGGTTTATAAAGATTTCTTGTTGGTTCCAAGTAATCTAGTTTGTATATACATTTAATAACTTTGTTTTGAAGGATTTTGATTGGCTTCATGATTGATATTCTAGCTGTACCCCAAACTGAAATCAAGTATTGTAATTTTGAATAAACCAAGGAAAAATATATACATTTCAAGTATTTCAAAGTGATTTGGTGTCTGATCCTGTAGAGTACTCCGATTACTGGAGATATTTTCTTTCTGATCGATTCAATATGTTTGGACCATGACAAATGTTCATCAAGGAATATCCCAAGGAATTTGATGGCTGTGGAATATTTGATGATTTCATTATTAAATTTGATATCAAATTTCAGTTCACTTGAGAGGCGTCGTTTAGAGATATACATGAATGCTGATTTGCTGTAATTTATACTCAATTTATTATAGGACAACCATGAAGATAAAATAATCAAGTCACTTTCAATTGCATTTCTGATTTGTTGGATTGAGTCTGCGGAATAAATCAATGTAGTGTCATCAGCGAACATGTAAACTTTTCCTTTCAATTTGATGTTAACAATTATTTCAGGAAATTTCTTCGAAAACACGAATATTTTGAAAATTCTCCAGAGTCGAAGAGGGAGAATTTTCTAAATATTCGTGTTCGAGAAAAAAAATTCCCGGTTGAAGTGGTATTCGGTAAGAAAATTTCACACTGAAATAATATATTGCAAGTATACCTACATAATATTATATGGTAAACTGTTGATAAATGATTTTTATTTATTGACTTATAGAATGGACTCGAAATAATCTGAAGTTGTGTGTAAATGTCATTCAACCTATAAACGTCAAAAAATTTCCAGTGTAATTTCATGCTCCATATCCCCCAAGGACGAGGAAAATATTTCCAAGAAATTTGTTTAGTTGCTATGGTACAGGCTTTAAATTGATCGAAAATGTTTGGTGTGAAATTTTCATTGAAATGTCATGTTTACTTGGACATTTTGTTATCTGACAACAGAGATGAAATTTCAATCTTCTTCCTCGTAACGAACCTCAAAGATCCGTAAGTTCCCAGCGTCAGACTCCTGTACTCGGGATCGTAAAAGAAGTACACCGAGCTGACGCATTTCGGCAGTATGTCCAAAACACCCACAGCTATCAGTTTGTCGTCCAACCAGTACTGCTGGTGAAAAGAACCGTAACCAGGACCATCAATATCGTTGGGAAACTCTTTCGGCTGAAAGCAAATCAGGTTAGATTAGATTAGAGTGTCTCGAACTTCTCATTCCATGTCCTTCAAAGAGTGAGGACACGCTTGTCACCTCAGACTAAATAGCAATAGATAAAGGACACCGCGATTCATTCATGAATCATTAAAAAAGTATACGCCAACAATTCTAAACGCCGTCAAACACGGATGAATGAATGAAATTCCGAATGGTAGGGATAACTCTGCGGACTCATCGCACATGACTAATCACAAATGACAATCGACAAATGACAATTGATGACAATGACGCTGAGGACAAAACACAACATTAGAATGACACCCGTCAAGTCAAAACTAAGGAATGTTTTGATTCGAAGTTACATAGAACACAGAACCAAAATTGTAGTTAAAATAACAAGGAGTTGAATGATTTAAGGCTATAGCCTTGCCACTATGCGCGGTTAAAAACAAAATTAATTTTTTTCATGTTTTGTATTAAGTGAACTTTTTCCACCAATAATGGTAGGTACATTTAGATTCCTTAATCAATACTTATAACTAACATGAGCATTGTTTCTTCTTACAGATTTTCTTTTGACACATTTGCTGATGATGAAGGATTAATCCTTCTGAACATGTCCTTACTTATTAAAAAATTTTATGTGGTGGAGTTGTGACTGTAAGATCTTTCACCCCTCCTGATTTATATCACCTTCACCAACTTTATATCGAGAATCAGTCTGGAGAAATCCATGAAAATGTGCATGCTTATATTTCAGAATACGCTCTCTTCATATAAAATATTTTCGACAGTGCAGTGTTGCCGCTTCTACTAGTGAGTAGTAGCGACATTGATATTTCAAATGGAATACTCTGCATTTCATCGCATTTTTAGATTCTCCCTGAAGAGCTGATTTCATCAATATATATAATAATAATAATAATAATAATAATAATAAATTGCCTTTATTGTTTTTGTAATGTAAATATTACAATACAAGTATAATGTTGAGAGGCGGAGTCTAGCTCACGCTATTCTAACTTAACCTCTATCTCACAATAAAAAGGGACAATGGATTTCTTAAACATACAGAGGTGTGCACAAAAAACGGCTAGAGCTGTAACTTCTGAATCATTCGCAATCGAAATTTGAAATTTGGTGGGTAGCAACTATACCATATTGTTCATTTATTGACGAACAGAAAATTGTTTCATCACTTCCGGTCTAACCGGAAATGACCCCAAATTTTGATTTTCAAATGGAACCCCCTGTATATTTTTCCATTTTTAGATTCAGGGTATCATTTTACATTCACCAGTAGTTTTTCCGGATCATTTTGTGTGAAACAGAAAGAACAACAAAATGAACTCCACATCAATCTTTATCATTTTCAGTAGCATAGAAAGAGGGGCGATGAAAAATTAATTACAACAAATGCTCAAATTGACCCCCATTTTACGCGATGTATTGCTGACACCTTCTAGCTACACTAAAAGTTGCGTTTTGTAAAAATGCTTGGGGTATACTGCGGCAAGCCTCTTATATTCGATGCCTAAGGATTTCTATATTCTCTGTCTGGAATAGATGAACTTGATCCTTCATGTAACCCCAAAGGAAGACATCCATGACTGTCAAATCTGGACAGCGAGCTGGCCACCGTATCGGTCCATTTGTTCCTATCCACCTTTCTCCAAAGTGTGTATTCAAATAAGTCACATTCAAACGCGTATTGTGTGGCGGTGCTCCATCTTGTTGGAAAATGACTTCATAACGATTGGCGAGGGGAAGTTGGTCCAGAAAATTTTCAATATAACCAGTAAGCAATTCAAAATACTTATACTGGTCTAAAGAACCGTCGATGAAAAACGGGCCTACCAACATATCATCAAGAATTCCGCACCATACATTCAAGCTAAATCTTGTTCTGAAGTTGGTTTCTACATTACAATGGGGATTTTCTTGTGATCAACATCTGTGATTTCGTCTATTGAAGATGACATTTCGCCCGAATGTGCATTCATCTGACCACATTATTTTTTTTATAAAATGCAGGATCTTGATTAAAGCTATTCAAAAAAATATTGCAGAAATGTGTCTCACGTTCTCTGTCATTATCATGCTCCAAGGTGTGAATTTTGCGGAGAACGTATGGCGTGTACTTTTGTTTCTTCAAAATAGAAAGAACTGTTCTTCGATCGTGACGAACCAAAATCATTTGCAATCTTAATTGTACATGTCCTGGGCGTTTCTTGTACACTGAGTAAAACATTCAATTCCAAATCTGCATCAAACTCTCGCTGTTGTTTCTTTGGTTTTTTGAAACTACCAAATTGACGTAGATTAGCTTCCAATCTGCCAAATTTCTGATGGCTAGGATGATTTCTATTCGGATATCTGTTTCTATAAACACGAGCAGCATCGTACGAATTTTTGAAACACTCAAAATAAACTTGTAACATATCGGTTAACTCATTATTATTCATGTTTATAAAATAGAAAATATCATCACCCGTATATTGAAACTTATTATTGGATGTTACTGTCACATTTAAATTGACTTACAAGGCTACCTAGATCTTGATTACTATTACCAATTAATGTGCAATGTTCAAACATAAAAACGAATTAAAAGAATTCCTCTTGACATTTTGATCCGGAAAAACTACTGGTGTATGTAAAATGATACCCTGAATCCAATAATGGAAAAATATATAGGGGGTTCCATTTGAAAATCAAAAGTTGGGGTCACTTCCGGTTAGACCGGAAGTGATGAAATCATATTTTTTCCGTCAATAAATGAACAATATGGTGTAGTTGCTACTCACCAAATTCCAAATTTCGATCTCGAATGATTCAGAAGTTACAGCTCTAGCCGTTTTTTGTGCACACCTCTGTATAACATATAGTGACTGAATCACATATATCACTACTTGATTACATCAATATATTTTTAATTTATATGCATGCCTGTGTATATATATAAATATATATATATCTACACAGGCGTGCCCCCCCCCCCCCCCGATCTCATAAAGCCATAACAAATAGATAAATTCATATAACATATAGCAACCAATCCAGATGAGCTAATGACCATACTGCAAACTTAGAACCTGTTCTTCTACTAATTCATGCTTGTAATGATGTTTCAAGTAGCTCAATGATTGTGTTTTGTAACCATTCGACAATGGATTATATACATTAGCAGAATTAAATGAAAAGCTTCTGTGGAATCCAGACAGACGAAATCTAGGCAGCGATAGAGTAAATGCATTGCGAATATTTCGGTCGTGCATGTTAGCTCTGAATACCAACTTATCTTTCAGATATGGTGGCGTAGATGTTGACAATATTCGAAAAACCATGGCACTCATATGGTATTTGAATAAATTATCAATTCTTAACCAACCTAGTTCGTTAATTTTCGTCGACACCCTATCATATTTTCGAAGATTGAAAACAAATCTACAACAGTAATTTTGGATCTTCTGTAACCTCTGTTTAGTAACATGATGTAGACAGGGGAAGTATAATATTAAGTCATAATTCAAAATAGTAAGGTTTCACAAAGTTTTTTCCTCAGCGCAAAGTTAAGGAACTGTCTATTTCTATATAATTGCCTGAGTACAAGGTACGATTTTTTAACTAAAAGTGAAACATGCTCTTCAAATCGCAATCTACAGTCGAATATAATTCCTAAATTCCTTTCACTTTGTGAAATTTTCAATGGTTGATCTTGAATTATAAGCTGCATGTCTTTTGCTACATCTATGTTGTAATTTGGACTGAAAATCATGGTACTGCATTTTTTTGGATTGAGTTTGAGGTTGTGAGCACTGGAATAAGTTTGCAAGGACGAAAGATCACTATTGATACATTCAGCAGCATGAGTAGCAAATTTAGGGTCACACTTGGGGTCTACCAGAAATGATTAGGGCCATGTGAACCGTTTTGGCCGACAATGAATAGTTTCGACAGAAACAAATCCAAATGTTGAAAAATCTCGATTTTGAACACCCTTTATATCTGTAATCATTTCCGATAGACCCCAAGTGTGATGTATCGATGAAATCAGCTCTTCAGCTAGAATCTGAGAATGCAATGATATACAGGGTATTCTATTAGGAATAACAAAGTTGATGCAACTTTATGATAGAAGCGGCAACAATGCATTGCTGAAAATATTTTAAATGAAGACAGCATATTCTAAAATATGAGCATGCATATTTTGATGAATTTCTCCCGACTGATTCTTGATATAGAAATAGTGTAAGCTCGTCGTGACATACCCTGTATAGTAAATCAGACATAATAATCGTTAAAGTAAAACTTAGAAAATCCATGGCCCACTAGCAAAAATTCATCATAGTCTGATGTTTTAGTGCTTTTTAGGATTTCTGGAAATCCCATGTCATTTTGAATGGAAACGAATAACGAATTCAACTAAATAATAAAATACATGTGGTATCTCCAAAATCATAACCCCTCAAAAATTGAGTACGCCACAGGGTTCTTCGCAAAATTCTTTGTTAGACGTAGTAACTCATCACAACCATATTTCTAATAACTTCGTAGGGAAGCCTGGCAGTCTAAACCAAAATGTACATTTTACACTCGTCGAGAAATTTACTAGATTTTTTCTCTACTTCTGACTGTTAAATTTTTTCAAATCACTAGCACTAGAGAATTTCGTGAAAATTATATTTTTAGCCTGTGTTTAATTTTTTCAAATTGTTAGACATTCGAAAATAATGGTGCCAGTATATCGGTGTTCAATAATTCTTCATCTTATATTTATTAAGGAGACGGAAGATCATTCGAGAACGTTCTCGAACCAAAGCCTACCAATTGATTTTATATGTATATAAGACGGCCGAACAACTGCGTCAGTCAGTTAAGCAGCGAGTGTCAGAGAGACAGTTATATTCCGCGTGATATAAATCGTTTTACATAAATAGTAGTTATAAGTTCGATATAAATTAGTGTTTCTTTAGTTCAAATAAATCATTTCGGAAATAAATAGTGTCGTGTTCGCTTCTGCACCCGAATAACGTAACAATATATTCCAACAAATATTTGGAAGTATAAATATAATTACCTGAACCAGAAAGTATTTGAATACTCGGTATTAAAATAGCGAAAAGTATTTGAAAATACAAATAATGCCCAGCTCTGACTTCACACAAGGATTTTCATTTGTAGACCAAAATTATACAGCACTTCACCGAAGGAAATTTGTGGAATTCCATCGAATACAATAGTTGTTAGTTGTTAATGTAGTGAGCCATAAAAGCAGAGTAATATACCTTCAGGGGAGTTTTGACGAGAAACTCGAGAAACTGCTCCTCGTCACATTCATTTGGAGGGTCGCCGTGTATGGACATTTGATATTTACAATATAAATCGGCACTTGCTTCAATATTGACGTTCTCTGTCCTTAGCAGCAAGATCTATAATCAACGGTATTCGAATTAAACTGACAAGCACACCAAACAAGAAGAATATTACAACGGGTGACACGAAATCATTGGTCAGAGCGTCATTCAGTTGTTTTCTATGTTAGACTTTCGACATTTGGATCGAAAATATAGGTGGTTCCTTGAAACCCATTCTTGGGATGAATTTTCATGAAATAATTTCGAAACTCCTCAGTTTCATGTCCACGCTGTACAGAATGGCGTTCAATCAAGTCCAAGTGGTTTTTATTTTCAGAATAAAGCAATTTTTTATTTTCGGGAAGGCTAACTGAGTCAATTTTGAATCTAGTCTGAATTTAGCTGATGATGAAGAATATAGCTAGCGAATATCTAACAAATAAAAACGAATAAAAAAATAGAAGATGACAACTTAGCGTCGTTGTTGATGTTTATATGATGGAAAATAAGAAACAAAACAACTATAAACTATAGACATAGGCTAACAAATAACTGGAGATCAAAAATCGACACCAATAAAACTGATAAACAAAAATATACATAACCGCAATATCAGATCGGCAGTTGGTGTGCTTGTAGTATTTTGTGTGGTGTGGACGAGCTCAAAGTATTATGCGCTGTTTCAAGATATAATCTGCAACTTTCCTAGAAAATAGATCCGTTTTATAAAGGATCAAATTCTTTTGCAAAATAATGACTGACAAGTTATAATTATCATTTCATAATATAACGAAAGTGAGAAATTATTGATACTATCGCAAAATATCACAATGAACCTTTTTTAGTAATCAACTTCAGTCAGTTACTAATATATTTATGAAAATTATTCGAAATACTCGGCCAAGTAGGATTGAATAAACCTATTAAATCCCTATCCTATTATAATTTATGAAAAGAACAATTTCCGGAATTCTAGACAAATTATTGATGATGCCGGCAACGTTGTATTGACAAAGGGAAACGTATTTCATATCTGTTTGAATGAAACTTTTCTAGGTAGTACGTGAAGGAGCCAAATTTCTTTTTCATTTATTTTCTTCTGAGATAAAAGTTGATTTTACGAAGGAAGCAAAAATACGTATACAGTGTGTCCAAAATTCAATCCTCACCATTGGGATCTCGGTAAATATGACAGATAGAGAGTCGGTTACATCACAAAAGTTTCAGAAAATTTATTCTCTATTCAGAATCCGTAAAGAAATCTAGACTAGCTTCAGTTAGAGTCACTGGATGGTATTAGTTGGATGAGAGTTCGGAGTGATATTCAATTGTTTTTCAATGAAAAATATGACACACTAGAAAAGCCCAGTCAGCACATCCTTTCGTTGTCAACCTTGAAAGATGTCGAACAGCACTTTATCAAAACTTCTTCATCCATAGAACGGCTAGGCTCTGGAATTCATTGCCTGAGGAAGTATTCCCAACAACATATACAGTGTCATTCTTAAAGTCGGCATCATATGGGAAAAACTTTTATTAATGACTTATTTAGAAATTCGAGTTGGACATTAAGTTTTGCTTCAAAAAAGATGAAAAATGGCCTACTCAATCGGGGTCACGTGACTTTCGCTACATGTCAAAAGTGACATTTTTTCAAATTAATCGCTGAAAGTAGGCTTATTTGTTCGAATATCGAGAAAGTTTACTTGAAAAAGTTGTTTCTATTTGAATTTTACATATGTGACTCGGATTTTATCTTTCTATTACATTTTTTAGATTTCGATATTTTTTAAAAATTTTCGAAATTTCTGTAATATTAAAAAAATTGTAAATTCGATAAAGCTACTTCATACCAGTAGCTTCATCATGCTACTAACATTCAATTACTAATTATCACTAATTATCGACAAAAATATGATTTTCTTCAGAAAATGATAATCTCCGCTTCAAAATTCTGTTATGTTTGATGCAAACATAACATCAAAATTCTGTCATGTTTGAGTCAAGCATTTAGAAACGAAATTTATATGAATTAATTTTTTCAGTACTGAAAAAATCAGTTCAAATGAATTTCGTTTGTAAATGCTTGACGATATATCAACTTTGCATCAACCATAACAGAATTTGGATTCTGTCCATAATCAGTGATGATAAGTAATTGAAAGTAAGTAGCATGAAAAAGCTTCTGGTATGAAGTAGTTTCGTGGAATTAACAATTCTTCAAATATTACAAAAATTTCTCGAAATTAAAAAAAAATCAAAATCTAAAAGTTGCAATAGAGAGATCAAATTCGAGAAGCATGATGTGTAAAATCTAAATAGAAACAACATTTTCAAGTAAACTTTTTGATATTCGAACAAATAAGCCTACTTTCAGCGATTAATTTGAAAAAATGTCACTTTTGACATGTAGCGAAAGTCACGTGACCCCGATTGAGTAGGCCATTTTGCATCTTTTTTGAAGCAAGACTTAACGTCCAACTCGAATTCCAAAATGAGTCATCAATTAAAGTTTTTTCCATATGATGCCGACTTTATGAATGACACTGTATAACCTCCAGAAGTTCAAAAAAAATTCCAATACCTACCTCCTGTCCCTATCCTCCCTAGGAACGCACGATGTTCTTCGAACATTGTAGGGATTTCCTTTCGTGCGCTCCAAGCGATAAAAAAATGTTTTGAGGAACTACATCTTCGATGCAAATGTCAAACAACTGAATGACGCCCTAGCCAAAGATTTTGTTGTCACCAGGTATAAACACTGTAAGAGCTAACAGATATGGCATATTCAGAACAGTCAAGGCGACCTCTATCAATTGTCGTCGCATTTTCATAGAGGAGAAACCTGCAGAAATCTAACAATCATAGGGGATATTAAATATACAGGGTGAGTCATGAGGAACTGTACATACTCCTACCACGAATAGAGGCCCCTGAGGGGAATACCGAATGTCCATCAGAAAGTGTCTTCTTCACTTCTTTTCCAATATATAGGGTGAATTATGAGATTTGGCAAAAACATCTTTTGGTCATAACTTTCCAACAGCTTCTTCGATTCGTCTGATTTTTTCATGGAATATTCCACTACTACTCTCTAATCGACTGACTTATTCAGAATCGGGAAAATCCAGGAGCGTTCTTGAAAACTTTTGATAGTTAAGTTTATAGTAAAGAGTTAATCCTGTATATCGTTTTTGTTAACCCTGACAAGGAATTTTCAAGGGTCACACACAAACATCAAAAATAAAATATTTAAAATTTTCCTCACACTTTCACTGCAGTTTGAGAAAAAAACTATAAATTTTATGAAACAACGAAAATTTGGCAAAAAATTTATTGATTTGGAAATTTGTACCTACTTCGCAACCCATACATTTTACGAATAAAAGTGAGACTTACATTTTCAATGCTTCAGCCCAATGGAAATCAACATATTATTATTTAATTTTCAGGCCTGGATTTAGTAATTCAATTTTTTGTGGAGGATAATAATCACCCTGTACATCTTTTTTGAATCAGTGGATGAGGTATATGTGAAAATGTTGATGGCCATCGCTATAAATGATTTTATGATTTAAATTAACAGTTTTATCTATTAGATTTATAAGCAATTATTTTCCGTACTAGAATTATTATCCGCCTTTGTCAGTATAGCTTTTGAAAAATAATTGTGAGTAAACCTTCATTTTCTGTTCGACTATCTTGAATTATTTGAATCGATGACCATTAATATTTAAACATATACCCCATCCACTGATTTAAAAAAGACCTACATGGTACAAATAATGAAATGACGAAATCCAGGTCTGGATACGAAAGAACATGTGGATTTCCATTGGGATAAAGAATTGAATGTGAGTATCACTTTTATTTGTGACATTTATGCGTTGCAAAGTGATTAGTTTCGAATGAATAAAATTTGTTGTCAAACTTTCGTTTTTGCTTAGAATTCAGTTTTTTTTTAAATTCTGTGAAAGTGTGAGGAGAATTTTGAGTATTTTATTGTTGATGCTTGTTTGTGTGCTTCGGAAATTCCCGGTCATAGTTAACAAAAACCATATAGAGGATGAACTTTTTGATAAAAACCAAACTATCGAAAATTTTCAAAAACGGTCCTGGATTTTTCCGATTCTGAATAAGTCAATTGATTAGGGTTTAGTAGAGGAATATTGCATGGAAAAATCAGACGAATCGAAGGAGCTGTTGAAAAGTTATAACCAAAAGATGTTTGTGCCAAATCTCATAATTCACCCTATATATTGGTGAAAAAGAAGAGAAGACACTTTCTGATGGTCATTAGATATTCCCCTCAAGGGCCTCTGTTCGTGGTAGGAGTATGTACTGTTCCCCATGACTCACCCTGTATAAATTCCATATTTCCGGACGACCAAAAAAAAATCAATTGCACTGAAAATTGAAATTCAGAAAATGAAATTCTCACTACACGAAGATTATAATACTCTGCTTTCAAGGACATCCGTTCTCATGGAAATATGTACCTTGATCGGCGATTTCACTAAAAATGATCGAAATTTGGTCAACTCCAATTTGGCAGGTGGATCGTTGTGAACAGCCATTTGATAACGCCTGTACAACTGAAATTCTGCTTGTTCCGCTAGTTTCCATTCGTCGTTAGGAATACTAGTTGGAATCAAACGTATCTATGAAATAAAAGAGATGATTAAGGCACCTTCGATATTTTGAATAATTCTTTCATAAAACGATATTAGTTCTTGGATTTTTGTGAAATACACTTACCGGTAAAAAAACCGGCCACCAAAATATTTTGCCAAATTGTTCGCCCTGTAACTTTTTTAATTTTGGTTCGATTTCGGTGATATTTCGACCAAATCGTAGTATATACATATTTCGGAATGTTAGCCTGAATATGGTCCTAAGAAAAACTGATGGCTTGATCATTATATAGGGAAAAACAAAAGTGACTCTTTCACCCTCAACTTCTCAACACCCTGTGGCAAAGGTGAGTAGTTGAACTTAGCTTCATTATGTTTTGGGAAGAAGTGTGATCCCTTCTTAACACAATGGTTTTGGATTCTAGTCGATAACCACTTTTAAGAAAATATACAAGTGTTTTAAGAAAGTATGGATTTTTTTTAAAAATTTTAACAATAATTCAGAACCATTCTCCAACCTTCTGCTTCATCATGTTTTGAAATGAAGTGTGGTCCTTTTTTGTCCCTTCTTAACATAATGGTTCGAGATTCAAGTCAATATCTAATTTTTAAGAGAAGAGACAATAAGTCTTTTAAGGAAGTATGAATTTTTTCAAATTTTTATCAACAAAAATTTAGAACTTATAGAGCATCTTGGGGATGAACTCCAGAGGCTCATTCGCCTTAGTTCGGCCATGTCAGAGACTCTTCAAGAGCTACGATTCGCCCTTCAACGATATTTTTTGGCAATTCTTCAAGACTACTTTAGAAAATTGATCAACTCGTTGCCACGGCGGTTGAATGCCTCGTTGAATGACTCGATATTGACTATATACAGTTCTGCTTTTTGTTTGTTTTTTGTAATAAAGATTTTTTTCTGTAACTGCTAAGAAAATGAGGTAGGAATATGTGATATAAATTCTTCAAGTTGTTAATCAATAAGTTTATATAGGTTCTGATAATAATTTTTTATGACTAAATAAACGGATATATATATAATTGTTAATATGAGTGTTAATGAAATTTGAAAAATGCCATACTTTCCTAAAACACTTGTATCTTCTCTTAAAAATGAGATATTGACGTGATTCAAAAACTATTGTGTTAAGAAAGGATCACACTTCAATCCGAAGCATAATGAAACCAAGTTCAACTACTCAATTTTGCCACAGGGCGTTAAGAAATAAAGGGTGAAATAGTAACTTTTTTCCCTGTATAAAGATCAAGTCATCAGCTTTTCACTTGAACTAATATTCATGCTAACATTCGGGAGCATAAATCGGAATCGGGCAAGGATTAAGAAAAGTTACAGGGTGAACAATTCTGGCAATTTTTTTGGTGGCCGGTTTTTTTTTGCCTGTGAGTGTATGTTGTTTATTCAAGGAGGAATGCGAAACTGTTAACAATTTGGCAGCCTGTGCAAACTGGAAGTGATCATTTAAATCGAAGGCTGCCCGATTTTCTTATCATGATTTTCTCTATACAGGGTGATTCATTGAGAATGGGCAATATCTGAACTACAGATAGTTATTACCAAAATATGGAGATCAAGCCCAACATACCTTATAAAAGTGTTGCAGATACAGGGTAGGGTGTTCAAGGAAAAAAAATGTGATATAAATTTTTTCATAACTTTGGTCGGAATTTTGTTTGTAGTTGTTTGTTGTTAGTGATTGTTATTATTGACTACTGTTATTTTTTACGGTCACTTCATAATTTAAAAGAAGAAAAAAATATGTTATTAGTGAACCACAAATGTCTTCAAGAGCTCAAAGACTGTTGTAGTTATACAATTCGAAAAAGAGTAAATGTTTTATGTGAAATTGAACGAGCTGTCAGATTTTTTACTTATTTTAATCATCATTAAATGAACAAAGATATGATGTAATTCACCGAAGTAATAGAGTACCACCAGCGCCCTCTATGACCAATCATAAAATAAATTTCAAATTCGAATTCCTCATGTCAGAAAACCTTAAACAACAAAATGTCTTGCTATTGAAACTTACGAAGTCATTGAGAAATTTCAAAATGAAATCTTTCCTTTGAACACCCTGTAACTCCTGAACCAGCAACATCCTTATTAAGGATGTTAGGATGATCTTCATATTTTGGTGCAATGACAGCTCTGTCTAATGGATGAACATTACTTGAGAGGAAATCAGACGGCTAGAAGACAAAGAAATCAAAAATGTCGCTGTTATCTGTTACAGCCGTAGAAAAATTACAGTATATAACTCACGGAATGCTAATTTTCCACTCGAATGATTGCAGATGTAAACTTCATTCTCGTGGAAAATCACTATCATTGCGTGCTCATTAAACAATATACTAATTTTCCACCACTAGCAATAGAAGTAACTAGAGTCCCTGTATATACCTTAGACAAGAGTCCGGACACAAAACTGACAGCTGTTGGGGTTTTCAATATTTTGTTTCATTTGGTTTGCCCACCTGACAATGTGACGAAACACCATAGTCGTCCCGCCCGCTTTTTTAATTATTTCGAATTTCTGTCACTGTCACTTTGAAATTTTATGACCGCCAAAATTTTGCATTTCAAATTATTTCAATGTCCTGCTGCGTACATTATTGCGATAATTCATTAGAAAAAGGATTCGAGTTATTATTATCATTTAATAGTTATTCTAGTTAAAATAGCCCTATTTCTCACTTCTACCTACGGCTATGAACGGTTTGAGATCGATATATATGTCTTATTCCTTTATTCAATCATCAATGCATTTTTTGAAAACAGAAAAAGACAGAAGTATAGCTGTGTCCGGACTCTTATCTAAGGTATATACAGGGACTCTAGAAGTAACCATTATTAAATTCACTCTTTTCAAGGCGTATAGTGTGTTTTTACTGCTAAGATAGTTTTCGACATTTTATGAACTACTATAGTCAATAAAGACATGTAGATTGTAAATTGTAGATATGTCGTATAGGCTGGGAGACCTCTCGATCACTGCGACCTAGAAGATCTATTGTGATTACCCTTATCTAGTTATGGTCCTTTAACCCTAGACTTCTGATGAAGCCCAGAATTTTCCTGACGGTTGAATTTTCCACCTCAGCAGGTGTGAGATAGTGTTCTAGGTGATTCAGCCTTTGGCGGACTAATACTTTACATGAACAAAGTATGTGTTCCGCGGTATCGGTCGCATTGTTCCAAAGGCGGCAAGTGTCAGTCTTCGTCAGGCCCATCTTTTTGAGGTGGAACCTCATAGGGCACTGTCCTGTGAGAAAGCCTGTGATAAGCTTCAGCTCTGGTTTGCTGAGGCTGAGTAGCTCTTTGGCACGGTTCTGCGAATGGTTGATGAACCTTTTCGCTTGTCCTTGACCAGCAGTTGTTCTCCAGTAGTAGGACTTTTCAATTTCTTCCCAATAAAGACATAGCCACCTCTGTTATAATTGAATAGAATTCACTGTTCTGTTCTGTTGTTCACTGTAGATATTTATCAATAACAACTTGTCATATGCTGTCATGGACATGGCTACTATAGATTTTGATTAGAATAATGCTTTCATAGTGACAAAGTCCATATTTCAGTTTCACATAACTATATGGGTAATCATTACAATATTCACTTACGGCCACTATAGAAAGTAGGCAAGAACATACGAGATGCAGCCTCAGTAAGAAGCTCTTTACGAACAGTAAGCACATCGCACAGTTTTCGTTTATTACGCCAGTATAGATATGTCATGATTGCGTAATCGCTGTCAACAGCGGATGACATAACTGTCAAGAATTATAATTCAGACTGTTTGTCCAAACTTTTTTGATGTACTATATGGAAGTAGGTGAAGTATAGTACGTAATGCGTACGTAATGCTTGTTGTAAAACAATTACGCACGCATATGCTTCTTACAACACATATGTAATATACTAGTATATTGCTAGTGGTGAAAAAAAATTTAATATACCGATGAACACTCGGAATATACCCTCGGCCTCTGGGAATTGATGATATTCTTTACTATCTTGGTGTATAAATAACTATTATATGCAACTTAAAAGAAACAAACACACACAAAAAACAATATGCATTACCTTCAATCGGTGTTTTGCATTGGATGGAATTTCCTTCAGAAACTGTTCAATGCTCTTTTGATTCGAGTTCATTTTTTTCTCTATGGTTAGTCCTTTTTTCAATAGTTTCTCTTTCTTTCGTTCTAACCTCATCAGTTTAGCTTTTTTGCATGGGGGTTTGCTGCTATCTGGCCCCATTCCTACACTCAAAGACGTCGTAGGGGTGCTTTTTTCGGTATTATTACAATTCTTTGTTTCACCTGAAATTACATGATAGGTGTATAACATCAACTATATTGTAATGATATTCTCCTTAGAGGGGCTCTAGAAACATCAGCAGGAAGGCAGGAGTACAACGATCATCCTGTAACACACATCCCAGATAGTTCTCCAGCCTCCCAATGATTCCTACAAGCACCAGCATATTTCCGAACACTCAATATATGCCGCGGTGACAAATAACGTGACAGAGGATTCTGGAATGTTCTGGAAACAATCGATAGAACAATTAGAGAGAGAGAGGTATTGTTCTAAGAAGCTTCTATACGAAAAGAAGGGAACGGAAGATCATTCGAGAACGTTCTCGAACCAAAGCCTACCAAGGGATCTCATATATAAACTGCCGTCAGTCAGTCGAGCAGCGAGTGTCAGAGAGACAGTTATATGCCGCGTGATATAAATCGTTTCACATAAATAGTAGTTATAAGATTGATATAAATTAGTGTTTCTTTAATTCAAATAAATCAGTTCGGAAATAAATAGTGTCGTGTTTGCTTCTGCACCCGAATAACGCAACAATGTTATGCCGGGCGACATAATCATGGTATTCCCCTTTTCTCCTTTGTTTATCTAGATATATTTCTGAAATTTGGAACATGGAATATGCTCAATCGAGTGCACTTTTTCACATTTTAGGCAAGGTTGGTAGAACTGATGATAATTTGTATAGAAAGGTTGCCGCAGCAAGGAGGAAAACAGTCATTCGAGACGTCACAGGCAGTAAGATGACAAGATGTCAACCTCAGAGCGAAAAATCATGAAATGTTGTTCGCCAAATAGTGTACAAACTTTTTGGTCTGCTCAGCATATTTATATTAAGTTATAGTATATTTTTAAAAGTACCATTATAAAATATGAATATTTATATATACTTCTGTCTACCTCTGTCTAATACCTTCAATCTTTGAAATGACAAGGCTATTTTGGATGGATCAGTAGACCAGAGTGGAATACCTATCTGAAATTCTGTCCGAGGCTATGTACCAGGTATGTGTGTTTTGAGGTATGGAGCATAATTATGGAACTAGTGAATACTTATGCTGTGAATATTATGTAGATATGCATCCTATAAAAATATCCTTTAAATCAGATAGAGTGAACAAGAAGCTACAGAAAATATCATTTTCAATCAACTTCAGGACTATGAAACCAGGGTGGAGACCAGTGTACTAATGAAAAAGCATCATTCCAGTGAAAAAAAGGTTTCATGAGTGAAATAAAGATATATCTATATTATTTATTCATTAATTTCAGTTATTGCATCACATTTTTCAATATTACATATTATGCAAATACATATACAGGATGATCCACGGTGGATGGCCTATTAGAAGTATCTAGATAACAAAAAGACAGACCATTCTGAAAATTGGGATGCTTTGATAATTGAACATTCTCTATCCGTCTAAACTATTTTCATCGATACAGTGTTGCCATTTCTATCAGAGATAACTAGCAACTTCGTTATTTAAAATAGAGCACCCTATATTTTATTGCATTTTTAGATTTTTCCTGAAGAGCTGATTTCATCAATGCATCGCACTTGAGGTCTAGCAGGAATGGTTACAGAGATATAGGGTGTTCAAAATCGAGATTTTCAAGTTTCAGGATTTGTTTGTGTTGAAACTATTCATTATCGATTAAAACGGCTAACATGTCCCTATCTCAACTTTCGATTCACTATCTACTAACATTTAATCGGAACAGATACAGGGTGATCAGGATTCTGAATCTTGAAGCACCCGCGGGGTACGATCGAGATAACCTTCCTCTACAAAATAATCATCAGTTCTACCAACCTTGGTTATTACATTCACCAAACAAAAAAAAGTCCAACTATCAGATTAAGGAGATTCCTCTACATAATTGTCAGATTATGGGTCAAATTCGCGGTAGTCAAGATCATCATCTGACGTTGTGATGACATGAAAACTACAGGAAAACATGTCTAACTTTCCATCGGAGCCAGAAGTTAGGAATGTTTTCCCGTATTTTTCATGTCATCGCAACGTCAGATGATGACCTTGACTATTTCGAATACAACAAGAACATTAAGATGGAGCGTATGTATAATAATCTGACGCGCTCGAGTATTTCAAGGTCACAACTTTTTTATATTCATTTTCAAAAAGGTGTCAGGACTTCTGGTCGCGTCCAAATCGTCAGTCCTTTGAATAGGAGCTACTTGAGGGTTCACTTAACATCCCTTCCCAATATCTGACGCGCTCGAATACATTTTTTTTATCTATTCTCTTCTCCCTTCGTTCGGCCACCCCCACCACGCAAACCGGCAGATTAATATTTTTCGGTTAACAGAAACACCTGGGTCGAATACACTATCAATATCTGAAGCTCTCGAGCATGTCTTTGTGACTGTTTTTTTACATTTTTGAAAACTTGTACACGCTTTCCGTACCAGTGAAAGGGCATACCCCATATAAACTTTTTTTCTTTTCAGCTTCTCATCTTCATAATCAAATAGGTCCTTACAAATTGTATTAATCGTTTGTACCAAGATGTTTCTTTCGCTAATGTTATGTTTTTGAACGCCCTGTATTCACATTTTTTAATGAGTGATTCAAGATGCATGATACGCCCCTAAAATGATTGTCTGAATTTGAAAGTGTCATCAAAAACACAGCAAATGTTTGTGGAATCCATGCCTCTTTTCCACTGATAAATAAAAAACTCGAGTGCTCCCAATACTGATCCTTGTGGTACACTGAATGCTCTGCTTACCAGGTGTATCTTGTTGTTCTTGAGGAGCTTTTTCCAAAGCTCTATCGCATATTGGCAATCTCGATTCTCGTTCATCTTCTTCTTCTTTATTCTCTACATAGACAGAACTCACATCAAAATTCTGAGTGTTTGGATTATCTCTAATAAAAATATGCGCACTGTCATGCCCCTCTTCTGTAGAGATATCTTTTTTGTTCAAAATGTCAGTTTCCAAAAACTTGTTGAATTTCTTGATGACCTTTTTCTGCGATTTGCTTAACGAAAAATTCTTGACATCGCACCTTAAAAATATCATTTGATTATTATTGTTTCAATGTGAAAGCAGGGGCGGATCCGGGGGAGGGGCATGGGGCCATGCCCCCCCCCCTCGAGCACCTCATGGACATGTAAAAATGTAGGTATTTTGAATAAATGAAAAAATCAGTGTATGTCTTTATAGCTAGAAACTTCGCAACAGCTTTAAGGAATTGCGAATTTGTAATTACACTCTGCTGTTTGGCAGATATATTTTCGATTACACTGCCACTTAGTAATTTGCTGCTCCAAACAAAAAACAAGCAAACGATGTTGTTAGTATCACTCTTCAGACGCTTCCAGATAAAAGGGATGATATTCTAAATACCTACTATCTAAGTATTTTGAATTCAGCCAAACAGAAATTGAAAGAACTGAATGTTGAATTTTCGATGCCGAGAATAACAGGGAGGATGGTTCATAGACCAAATATGGTTTCCTCAGTGGATGACCATTACAGAATAACTGTATTATTATTGATCTTAAGGAATATCAGAAAATGAATTGAATCTCTACAACCTTGACCTTTGTGTGCCATCTCAATAACTAAAAACAAAACAGATGAGGAAATTTATGAGGTATGGGAAATATACTTGAACAGTTTTGGGGAGAATAATGAAATGTCCTTCCAGAAGAACGTTTCTGAAATGTATAAATGAAAGAAAATGAGGGATACTAAGCAAAATATACCAAACAATGGTATAACTGCCCTGAAGAAATGTAACAAACATTTTTTTCCTAACATAAACATCCTTCTGGAACTATTTTGTTGCCTACCTGTAAGTGTTGCATCTTCTGAAAGAAGTTTTTCAACACTCAGAAGGCTGAAAAATTGGATAAGATCCAGAATGGTCCAAGACTGGTTAAATGGATTGGCATTAATGCATATTCACAGGGGCATCTGCAGCAGTCTGAATGTTGATGTTATCATCCAAAGATAAGCTAGGCAGAAGAATAGAAGACTGGAATTTATTTTTTATTTTATATATTTTTATTTTTGTCTGTTTCATTTGCTTTATTTTTGAAGAGAAATATTTTCATTCACTGTTGTAAGTTTTTTAACAGAAATATTTTTTCATTCACTTCTTTTATCCAATATGATTTATTACAGAATTCTACATACATTGATGGAAAATTTTTTTACACCAATAATTTCGATGTTTACTATGATCAGTTTTTTTAATGAAAAAGCATTTTTCTCATATAATTTCTCTTCCGCGCTAACCTTATTGTGTGAAAGTAATGTTCTGGAGAGTAGAAAGTTGAGATAAGATATGAAGAATGAAAATTAGTTATAGCTTATTTAGATAGTTAAAGTTGAAGTTATCAATAATTTACAGGGTGTCCCGAAATCAGCCTGCCAAACTTCACCTGCGGCTTCTACGACCAAAAATAGAAAGGAATGTTTCAATGAACATAAGTCGAGAAATGTCTTCTAAGGGAGCTAGCTAATATTTCCGAAACGCTATGTGATAAAATGATGCAATTGGGTTCAAGAACTAGATAAATAAATAAAATCATTCTAAAATTTCATTCAGGGGTGTATAACACAGGGTGAGACTACATTAGATATTGCTCAGAATTTTGTTTATGCATATTTCACGACAATTTGATATCGGATTATGAAAATCCACACCGTTTTACAGAAAAAAAGTGCTCTTGTTCCGTATCGATCAGATGTATCTTTCGAGTAAAATCGATTCAAAAATATTGTTACAATCACATCTTATGCATAACGTTGCACTATATTTATTTATTTATTTATTTATTTATTTACACTGTTCTACAGAGAAAAAAATCCAATTACAGAACAGGAACTAAGTGAAAATTTGCACAAAAGTAAACAATAAAAAACAAACAATAGGAAGAAACAATAGAAAAAACTTGGCATAATACACAATTTACACAATAGGACTACATTAGTAAAAAGTAAGAGATTAATACAAGAATATTACTGCTAATAATAATAGATTTTGATTTGCCTCACATTACAATGAAATATATCAAGCTGGTTACTTATTAAGTTATAGTTGCTACACATAGTATGAACAGGAGAGTTTTTGTATATATTTGTTCGTGGCGTGGTAATGTAGAATGAGTCGGTGCATCGACATGCCTGACGGGGAATTTTGAAGAGTATCTGATGTAGTCAGCATTGACATCTAATTTTATTGTTAATTATTTTATGTAGCGTAATGACACCAGAACATTTCCGTCTTTGATCCAGGCTGAAAAAAGTAGGTCTTGACAGTAAACTCTCGTGTGACGTGCCAATTGGTGGATAAGTCCGATCTGCTTTGAAACTCAAGTATTTGAGGAAGCGTCTTTGGATTGCCTCCAGTTTATAGACATGCACTTGATAATATGGGTTCCAGATAACTGACGCATATTCTAGCTTCGATCTGACAAAAACATAGTAAAGAGTTTTGAGTGTGACATGATTAAAGTCGTTGCCTACTCTAATTAGAAATCCGTACATACGGCTTGCTGACGTAGTTATATCGTCTACATGGTTTTGGAAAGACAGCTCCCGGTCGAAGGTAACTCCAAGATCCTTAAAATTAGATGGTCTGCCTAGAGAATGATTGTTTATCTTATAGTCAAATAGAACTGGATCAGATCTTAGTGTATACGACATTACGCAACACTTGGCAGGATTCAACGCTAGATTATTACGACTACACCATTGGCTGATCTGATTAAGATTTTCCGATAGTTTCTCACAGTTATTCATATTATTGATAGGGGAGAACATTTTTAGATCATCAGACTACAATAAAAAATTCAGTTCAATTATGTCACCAATGTCATTGATGAAGATGTTAAACAATAGTAGACCGAGGTTAGATCCTTGTGGTACACCTGATTTGGCAAGTAGTTCTTAGACCTGAATCCATTTAACTGCACATACTGTGTGCGATTGGACAGATATGATTTGAATAATGCGAGTAGGTTAGTCGATAACCCGAAATTCGACAGTTTTTGCAGTATCAGATTATGGTCAAGTCTATCAAATGCTTTGGTCATATCCATGTAAATAACATCTGTCTGAATTCTGGCATCTATATTTTCCGCTATGTATTGCGTAATAACGGTGAGATTTGTTGTTGTTGATCGGCCCTTCACGAAACCGTGCTGTTGGTCTAAATTAGAATTGCTGACGTGCTGATACAGAACTCCTTGTAGTAGTATATGCATTTTTTACGGACCGTAATTCCCTTAGGAGACATTTTCCGACTCATGTTCATTGAAACTTTTCCTCCTATTATTTGTCGTAAAAGCCGCTGGTGACGTTTTTAAGGCTAATTTAGGGACACCCTGTACTTTATAGTTAGCAATTTGTATTGCATGCAAAGAAAATTGCAACAATTTTTGATTGCGAGCATGCGCATAGGTTGTTATTATGATCAGTAGTTGCAATTTTTCTTGCATTGTACAAAATGGGTCTGGACCTATTTTAATTGCATCGCACCTGCAATACTAGGGATACTTTCAGTAAAATACGGAACCCTATGATTACTATTTCCCTCCTAACCTATGAGATATAATCAAATCATAGTAAAATCAGAGACAACAAGACTGTGTAAAACTCCATGCAATTATTATCGCGTCCGCAACAATGGGCGTGTTCACCTTAGTAGAACTTTTAACTCAAACCATGTTTATAATGATCGTTTTATACATAAATAATGATTGACGACATAATTCGATCGAAAAATTAACTGGAATGTTTTATTTTTGGACATAAATAATAGTACCTTCTGAAAACGGACCCTCTTATGACGTAGAAACCTCATCTCGCCATAGTTAAAATTGACACTTATCACTGTTGCCATATCATCCAAACAAAATATCCGAGAGATCGAAATTGATATTGAAATATCTTTTGATATCCATTACCACTACTGCAGAAAAATATATTCAAGTTGTAGATTGTAGGTTGAATCATTGGAATATAAACAATCTCTAGACAACGAAATGTCTCAATCTCAAAACCATTTGCACCATTACAATTTCACAATAACCCAATATATTTCATAAACGCAGCAACATTGCTTTGTTGACCCGTTTTACATGGAGCTGCAAAAAGTTAATATAGGTTAGAATTGATCTTCTTCTTGTTCTTATTATCCTTATCCCAAAAATCAACTGGCCGATTCACCAATCTTGGTGCTTTGTCAGAAATCATGTATCATTCATCTCTGTCTGGAATAGTCTTGTTTCAGTATTAGGGTTTTGACGTCACATTATCGCCTCGTTTTCAGAGGTCTGAAAAATCGGGGATTTCAATAATTTTTTATAAAATGTAGGGGGTTCACAGCAAGAAACGGTTTGCGGTGGTGAGCTAGTTTGGGTGAGTTCTATCGAAATATGAAATAAATTTTTTTGTGATATAAGCCCATTCCTGCAACTTTCGTTGCATGCAAGCCGAATTACCAACTGTAAAATAGCCTATGGACACTTAATGTGGATATTCCTGTATACAGGTATGGAATATCCGACTTACTTGATGGTATATTGCGGACAACATGTCTCTGCCATCACCGGTTTGTAACAATACATGCCTGATCTTCTCCATCCACGATCGATCAAATTTTGATAGTCGTCGACAGTGAGGGAATGTGCCCACATACCTGGAAAAAATCACGAGTGAAATAAGTCATGACTTTTATGAAAGAGTGAAAAAAGGCTGTCTTTTTTATTCAATTCAGACAATTTTCAATCAAGTGACTAAAAAAAACGAATTTCATTTACCTAACCCAAATACAAATCTTAAAGTATAACAAATACAATGCTATCGCCATACTGAGAAAAAATACCGAATAAGGAGACTTCATTCTTTCTCTTTCCTGTCACTGACTTAGAGGTACAGTATGCCATAACTTTCCTCAAAAATTCAAATTGTTTAAATGTACAGGGTGGGCAAAATTGGGCGTTTTCACGGCCTATCTCAATAATTAAAGGAGTTGAATAAACACTTCATATTAAAGTTGTGGAGATGACTTTGAGCTTTCCTTCCTCCTTTAATTGAAGGAGTTATCGAAGAACCGATATACATGTTACGGGTTCGATTTTAGGGAAACCCGAAATGGCGCATTCGGAATTTTGATATCTTCATTCGTTTCAGAGATACAGGGGGAAATTGATAAATTGACGATTTCGTTTTTATTTTTTGAGTACTTCATGGTGAAGAATATTGAAAATTTTCGGAATTTCATTTATATACTATGATGCGAATAATCCATTAGCATCATTAGACATTTTATACAGGGCGACATTGAAAAGATACGGCAGCCAATTATATTTTTTCTTATGGAACACCCCGTATATTTTGGCACAGTTGGATAGTCCCAGGCGTTACAATATAACTCTACCTTTTCCTTTCACAATTTCAGGAATATTCGCAAAAATATATTCAGTGTGTTATGGTTACACCTCCGTATCTTCCGCAATAATCATTGAAGTTGGATTTATAAACTCGCAACTGTGAGAGAGATGCCAATGATACACTCGAGGACTTAGGGGGAATAACTCCATTGATAACACTGCAGAACGGAAGACAATTATAACATCTTCTATAGAGCTTTATTTCTCAAGGTCACCTACTAATTTCCTAATTAGGTAAATTATTTTTTCTAATTTTGACATGTAATGTGACACTTTTCAAAACTGACGGAAGTTTTGAAACGTCTTACTTTACGTAACCAGTTGCGTAAAGTAAAATTTTACATAACTGGTGATGTAATGTTTATTTCAACACCGTGAAGAGTCGGCAGAACTCATGTAAAACTGGTCATTATTTTTGTTCATGCGAAATGTTTCGTCAAAATTAGAAAAAATATTGTACGTGACACGTTAGGAAACGCCATTTTTTGTGTGATGTTGCGGGATCTCGCTTCGATCGTCCCGCAAAATCCCATCGTTACACAAAACAACACGTTTCCTAACTGATTACGTAAATATCTAATTTGTCTTATTTCTGTATCTTAAATAATCTGAATGTATTGATAATAATGATATCAAATCGAATGATCTTTTGTTTCTAATCAAATATTCATTTGCCTGGAAATAAAATATTTGAATCGAATTTTCAATAATATTCTTTTCCTCCTTTGGTTAATATACAGTGTCATTCATAAAGTCGGCATCATATGGGAAAAACTCTCATTAATATCTGATTTTGGAATTCCAGTTGTACGTTGAGTTTTGCTTCAAAAAAGATGAAAAATGGCCTATTCAATCGGGGTCACGTGACTTTCGCAACATGTCAAAAGTGAATTTTTTTTCAAATTAATCGCTGAAAGTAGGCTTATTTGTTCGAATATCGAAAAAGTTTACTTGAACAAGTTGTTTCTATTTCAATTTTACACATGCTTCTCGAATTTGATCTTTCTATTGCAACTTTTAGATTTTCATTTTTTTTTTTAATTTTTCAAAATTTCTGTAATATTTGAAGAATTGTTTATTTCACGAAACTACTTCATACCAGTAGCTTTTTCATGCTACTCACTTTCAATTACTTATTATCACTGATTATGGACAAAAATATGATTTTCTTCAGAAAATGATAATACCCGCTTCCAAATTCTGTTATGTTTGATGCAAAGTTGATATATCATCAAGCATTTAGAAACGAAGTTCATTCAAACTGATCTTTTCAGTACTGAAAAAATAAAATGAATTTCGTTTCTAAATGCTTGACTCAAACATAACAGCATTTTGATGTTATGTTTGCATCAAACAACAGAATTTTGAAGCGGAGATTATCATTTTCTGAAGAAAATCATATTTTTGTCGATAATTAGTGATAATTAGTGATTGAAAGTTAGTAGCATGATGAAGCTACTGGTATGAAGTAGTTATATCGAATTTACAATTTTTTTAATATTACAGAAATTTCGAAAATCTTTAAAAAATATCGATTTCTAAAAAATGTAATAGAAAGATAAAATCCGAGTCACTTATGTAAAATTGAAATAGAAACAACTTTTTCAAGTAAACTTTTTCGATATTCGAACAAATAAGCCTACTTTCAGTGATTAATTTGAAAAAATGTCACTTTTGACATGTTGCGAAAGTCACGTGACCCCGATTGAGTACGCCATTTTTCATCTTTTTTGAAGCAAAACCTGACGTCCAACTCGAATTTCAAAATAAGTCATTAATAAAAGTTTTTCCCATATGATGCTGACTTTATGAATGACACTGTATACAGAGTGTCAATTTCAACCTATATTCTTCCTCTTGATAGCATTTTCCAGAAATCTCGGTGATTCCATATCTGCTGGCGAGCAGTGTTATCACCTCAATGATTATTGCGGAAGATACGGAGGTGTAACCATGAAAAATGTGACACGCTGAATATATTTTTGCGAATATTTCTGAAGTTTTTGAAAGGAAAAGGTAGAATTATATATATATTTGCAATTGAAACGCCTGGGACTATCTAACTGTGCCAAAATATACGGGGTGTTCCATAAGAAAAAATATAATTGGATGCCACATCTTTTCAATGTCACCCTGTATAAAATTTCTAATGGTATATGTATAAACTTTCGAAAATTTTCAATATTCCTCACCATAAAGCACTCAGGAAATAAAAACGGAATTGGCTATTTTTCAATTCCCCCTGTATCTCTGAAAAAAATGAAGATATCAAAATTCCGAATGAGCCAACTCAGGTTTCTTCAAAATCGAACCCGTAACATGTTTATCGGTGTTTCGATAACTCCTTTAGTTACTGAGATAGCCCGTGAAAACGCCCAATTTTGCCCACCCTGTACAGGGTGCGCCTCTTAAAATGGAACCCCCCCTTAACTCTTTTGTTTTCGGAGATGTGAAAAAATGTTAAATCAAAAAGTTGTTCGAAACGACTTAATCTTTTATTTCGTCAAGTTGTTTCATATACAAGGTCATTCGTTTTTCCAGAAAGAACATCAACTTTGATTTTTTCAATGGAACACCCTATATATTTTCCGACATGTCGATAGAGCTTTTTTTTCTGATTCCAAAAATATATATGAGTTGCATATTCTGATGAAGAATAATTGAGTTATTGATGATCAAAGTTGACCAAAATACCGCTTCATGAATTCTCACTTTATATCATAGTTGAACATAGTGGGAAAAAATATTCCATGGAAAAGTCAATAAACTACGAATCATTTTGAATGAATCTTTATAAACAATATTTATTGAATGAACTATATGAGATTGTGAATACACATTAGAGCTATCTACAACAAATTTTCAAAAATTCCGCCATTCTGGTCAATGCAGAGTTGGCACCTTGCTATAAAATTTTGGTAGACCCTTTCAAATAATGTTGGATCATTATTCAATAATTGAATTTCTTCTGTTATTTCTTTCTTCATTTTTCAAGATGTCAGTATCCCGAATAACATGACGTCAGGTCTGGGCTACGGGGCGGGTAAAATATTGGTCCTCGCATTCCAATCCAAGTGTCATAACTCTCATTGAGGTAGTTCGTGACTTCAATTCCAATGTGAGGAGGTGCACCATCCTGCTGCCATACCAATTGGTTTCGTCTATTCAAAGGGATTGCTTCATCAAGCAAGTTCTCAATATCACCTTGCAACATATCCAAATATTTTTGCCCCGTAAGACTGCCATCAATGAAGATGGGGCCAATTACTTTAGTGTTATAAACACTGCACCAGACATTCACACTTCTCCGGCATTGTTTTTTAATCGGTTTCATTACTCTCGGATTAACCGTAGCCCAGTTATGCTCATTTTTCCTATTAAACATTCCTGAAGTTGAAAATGAACACTCATCCGTGAATAAAATATTCTTAGTAAAATTTTCATCGCGATTATGTCTTTCAATTATTTCATGACAAAATCGTAAACGATTCGGATGATCTTGAGGACACAAATAATTCACTGGCATCACTTTGTATGGCTTCATATGATGCTTCTTCAAAACTCGTATCACACTTGTCGTGGATATATTGAAGTAATTTGCAGCCATTCTTGTCGAACGACTCGGGTCTTCAATGAAATGAAGTAATATATTTTCATCTGTCTCTTCTATGAGTACCGTTTTTTGCCGATTCCTCTTCATATCACCAAATTACCACTATCTCGTCTGAACTTCTCGAAGATCCTCTTGAAGGTATTCAATGATGGAAGTGGACGATCACCAAACCGATGCGCATATTCTCTACGAGCAGCGGTTGCATTTTTCCCGCAAGAAATGTATATTTCCAAAATTTCGCATCTTTCATTCAAACTGTAACCCATTTTTATTTTATAGAAATCGAACGTTTTCAAATTCATGATAAACATGGAGCTCAAACAATTAATAAACATTATTTCAAAGCCCACTATGTTCAACTTACATTAGATGATATTACCTATAAAGTGAAGGTTCATAAAGCGGTATTTTGGTCAACTTTGATCATCAATAACTGAATTATTTTCCATCCGAATATGCAACTCATATATATTCTTGGAATCAGAAAAAAAAGCTCTATCGACATGTTGAAAAATATATAGGGTGTTCTATTGAAAAAATCAAAGTTGATGTCCTTTCTGGAAAAACAAATGACCTTGTATATGAAACAACTTCACGAAATGAAAGTTTGGGCCGTGTCAAACAACTTTTTTATTTATAATTTTTTCATATCTCCGAAAACTAAAGAGTTAAGGGGTGGTTCCATTTTAAGAGGCGCACCCTGTACATGACTTAAATAGCAAAATAATCGAATCCATCAAAGAAATTATCGCTAAACCTCTGTCTATACTATTCAACCTCTGCTTTATGCAAAGAAAATATTTTCAAAAATAGTAAGTTAATCCCAATATACAAGGAAGGCATTCTAGACTGCTCAGAAAATCATAGACTCATCGCTATTATTCGAATCATAGGGAAATTTTTTGAAATTCTCATCCAGAACAGACTCATGAGTTATTTTGAAAAGAATATTTTATTGCATCAGAAAAATCACTCTACTATACAAGCTGTCAACAGACTGGTGGATGGCATAGTCGACTGCTTTGAAAACGGGGAACACACATCTGTCACTCTATGTGACCTAAGCTGTGTCAACCACTCAGTACTTCTACAAAAACTTGAATGTCATGGTATCAGGGGTACTACCTACAATTTTTTTGGGACTTATATAAAGGACAGACTACAATATGTATTTTTCAATGGAACAGTTTCCGAAAATAAACTAGCAACGATAGGAGTCCCTCAAGGCTCCGTTCTTGGACCCCTCCCATTCATATTATACCGGGTGTCAACGAATCTATTAGACAAGTCATAACTTCTAGACCATTAGGTGTATCGAAATGAGATTTGGTATAGGTAAATGGTATGTGGTGAGAAGAGTTTTCACTTCCCGGTCACTTCCGGTTTCACCGGAAATGGCTCCGGTTCCAAATTTTTAAATGGAACACCCTGTATATTGTAACATTTTTGGATTTCTGAGACGATTCTAGATCAGAATGTGACATTTTCGAAAGTTTTTATGCCTAGTTAATTTTTTCGGAGTCACTTTTGAAATTACATCTAGGTGGCCATGATTTGAAGTAAACTAATCTTAGGACCTCAGGTGATATCAGAAAATTACAATCGCGAAGTTTTAGTGACAAGTATGATAGATATGAATAGGACAAGTTGGCAAAATTACATTTTCGTGTCTAACTATTATTTTTCAAATGGCGACCATTTTTTGACAAGCACTTTCCGAAAAAAGGATATTTTGACGAATCTAACGATACTAATTTATTTGCGATTGGATTACAAATAAGAACATAAATTAAATATTAAATATGTGTCTTGAACAAGGAGGAATGCACTTTGAAAATTTAATATAGTTAAAATTTTCAAGAAATTAGGAAATTGAAAAAAATGTAAGTGCATCGCTGAAGTTATTGTTAATTTTGTTAAATTTGTTGATCCAATCGCAAATAAATTAGTATCGTTTGATTCGTCAAAATATCCTTTTTTCGGGAAGTGCTTACGAGTAAATGAATTATCATCCATGGCACACTTGACAAAAGTAAATAAATTATTATGAAGTATTTTCGTCAGTAATATTTAATTTATGTTCTTATTTGTAATCCAATCGAAAATAAATTAGTATCGTTAGATTCGTCAAAGTATCCTTTTTTCGGAAAGTGCTTGTCAAAAAATGGTCGCCATTGAAAAATAATAGTTAGACACGAAAATGTAATTTTGCCAACTTGTCTTATTCATATCCATCATACTTGTCACTAAAACTTAGCGATTGTAATTTTCTGATATCACCTGAGGTCCTCAGATTACTTTACTTCCGATCATGGCCACCTAGATGTAATTTCAAAAGTGACTCCGAAAAAATTAACTAGGCATGAAAACTATTGGAAATGTCACATTCTGATCTAGAATTGTCTCAGAAATCCAAAAATGTTACAATATACAGAGTGTTCCATTTAAAAAATTAAAACCGGAGCCATTTCCGGTGAAACCGGAAGTGACCGGGAAGACAAAAGTATGTGGAAACTCTCCTCTTCACATACCATTTACCTAAAACAAATCTCATTTCGATACACCTAATGGTCTAGAAGTTATGACTTGTCTAATAGATTCGTTGACACCCGGTATGTCAATGACATATTTTATCACCTTCAGGCATCCGATTGCATTCTTTTTGCGGACGACATGACTTTCTTCCACTCAAGAAACAGTACTGCTACATTACAACAAAATGATCTCACCACACAAAACAAAGTAGACGGCTTAAACCGAATGGACTTGTCAACAATCCAGGGAAAACTAACTGAATTGTCTTTTCTATGAATAAAGATGTCTCTCACGGCAATGTGAAACTGCTTGGGATCACCCTCCCAGTTTTTCCGGAGATATACGAAAAAATAGAAATGTAGATAAATTATTTTCATTTCTTTTTGGCGTTATTTGTTAAAGAAAACCAAAATTGATAGCACATTCATATTGTTACTCCTTCTCTGCTATACGATGATATTTTGAATTTCTGAATATTCAACAGAAAACAACTACTTTCCTGGCTGTTTGCCACGTCGAACATTGAATTATAACTGTTCAACATCCAAAAGAAGAACATGAAAAATAAAAATCCTCTGAATTTGAGAATTGACATTCTTTCTCAAATCGGATAAATAACATGATGTGTTTATGATATAAAGATATAACTTACCAAGTGTTCAGTATTGAATTGAGAATTGAAATATATAGGAGAAGTATACTTGTATAAACTCAGATCTTGATGGGCTTGACACTTCCAAGAAAATTCATTCATATCACTGATATGAGAAAGAATGTCGATTCCCAAATTACATATATTTATATATAAAGGAGAATGAAAATTCTCAACTCATAGAAAATGCGAATTCTCAATGAATTTCTTCATTTATAAATCCATTTTTCCATGTTCATAGTTTATCTGAGAATATTCCATTTCAAAATGATTTATTTACATTTTTATTTTGTTCGCATATCTCCGGAAATACACAGAATTCAGAAATTTTCTCATTGGCATATTTTCAATCACACAAATGCGCAACTTTACCCTAATTTAACCATCTTCGTATCGCCTATAGTTTTCGAGATTCCAATAGTGGCCCTCGTATTTGAATTACCCTGTATATAATGAATCCCTATTTCCCTTGGTCACGCCATCACGCGTGGAAGGCTTGACCGATTTCACTGATACTTTTTTTGTTGTGTTTGTTATTGTCAGGAGAAGGTTCTCAAAAAAAAATAAGAAAATCAAGATGGCGGATCCAATATGGCGGACGCGTTTTGTAATTATGGTTCTTTCGTCAGAATTGGAAAATTCAAGATGGCGGATCCAATATGGCGGACGACTTTTGTAATTATGATGTGATTCTGTTCAAAATTGGTATCTGGGGTTCACCAGTTCGTAGATTATGATTTATTCGTCAAATTTTAGAAATTCAAGATGGCAGATCCAAATGGTGAACGAGTTCATTTATTATGATCCGATTCTAGTCAAAATTGGTATCTGAGGGTTTTTGGGTCCGAGTATCATGATTCTTTCGTCAAAATTGGGAAATTCAAGATCCTGGATTCAATATGGTGAACGAGTTTTCTAATTAAGATCCGATAATGATTCCTTCGTCAAAATTCGGAAAATTCTCAATTCAAGATGGCGGATCCAATATGGCGGACGAGTTTTATAATTATTTTCCGAATTCCGAATCTATTCAAAATTGGATTCTGGGGAATTTTGGAGTCGGAGATTATGATTCTTTCCCCAAAATTTGAAAATTCAAGATGGCGGATCCAATATTGCGGACAACTTTTACTTTTGTAATTATGATTCTGTTCAAAATTGATATCTGGGGGGTTTCGGATTCGGAGAATATGATTTTCTCGTTAGATTTTTGAAATTCTTGATGGCAGATCCAATATGGCGAACGAGTTTATCAAATATGATCCGATTCTATTTGAAATTGGTATCTGGGGGTTTTCTGGGTCGGAGATTATGATTCCTTCGTCAGAATGAGGAAATTCAAGATAATGGTCCAACCTGTATATCCCCAATGTAGGACACTTTTTTTTATTATATGAGTCAACTTGAAATATGAATTTCTTGTGATTTATCCATGTATAGTGAAAAGAAGGAAGAATATAATTTAAAATATTGGTGTGTGTAATGTCATTCAAAAGCACTCTGTTGACATTTGACATCTGGTATTTGGATTGACTATTGATTAAATGGGGGTCATCTAGTATGCTTAGTCACTAAATATGAAAAACCCACTATAAAAATCATATTTTGTGTTGAATTTTCTATAATAAAATGTGTCATTGAAGTACATCATGAGTATATAAAGTGTCCAATGACAAAATAAAAAGAGCAAGTATGTGTAAAAGCATCCCAAGGAGAAAAAGAAGGCAAAATTTCGAACTTTTTCATGAAATAGCTTGATAAATAGGGGTTTGTTCACATTTTCATTATCAAAACCATGTTTTTTAGACAAAAATACATAAACCAAAAAAGGTTTCCCAAAAAAAACCCATCACATGATGAGTGCAAAATTACAGACTATGGTATGTTGTTCTGGAACACCTTATATTTAATTTTTCAAATTTTGGTTTTCAACATGTGAACAAATTTCCCCATAGAAGAGTAGGAACTTCCTTTAGCAAAACATGTCCCTCAAATGTAAAAAAATATAGTTTTCATGCAGCTGAATGTAAGATTTTCTCCCTGTCCTATTATCTTCACTCAAGTATTCAATCCAGTCTTCACTCCACTGTAAGATGGATGGACTCAGATGATTAATGTCAAGTTCTATATCCAAAAAAAACTATATTTTCCTTACCATTGGATATACTAGTATTCTCCTGATTGCAGTATCCGCATCTATGCTTTTCAATATCTTCAAACCATTGAACACAACTGATTTCACTTAGCTTTAAACTCATTTTTCATACAATTAATGATCAATTATTCTTTTACAAAGAACTGAGAGAATTTGAGATCTTTATAATTAGTTAGCAAGATAAGAATATTAAGAAAAACAAGATAAAATTGATAAAATTCAAAAATTCAGACAAACATTTGTTATTGTTTTGGCTCAGTGAAATGTCATCGTATCATCTGAAAACGACCGTTCATAAAGCTACGATCGTCGTTTCGTTCGGGAGATTTATAGAATCACGGTAGTCGTGTCTGTAACAAGAGGGACTGTTATGTTTCTCATGCTATGACAGAACTGACTGGTATAATTGGTATATGAAGTCGAATTGCACAATTCAAATTCAATCAGTATACTTTTGATATCTCGATTAGGACTTTATCATATATCTTCCTGATACTGATACGTACAGATGACATCAGAAGCTGTGCGGACCATGTGCGGACATCGGACAAGCATCTCAGTGCGGACAGCCCGACACAGATTAAACCCCTGATTTATAGATACCATAACGCATCTCTTAACGAGGTTCTGCCATAGTTACATGAGACGATGAAATACATTTTGCATTTATATATGTTCCTGAATTTGACACTCGCCAATATTGTCATATTAATTTTTTTTATTAATTTTTTTCGGACTATCGAGTATCATTTTTGGAATTAGCATTGTTTCAAAGCACGAGGATCAATCTATTCAAGATATTCCAATTCTACTATGCAATGGGTGATAACCTGGATAATGAATATTTGGCACTGCTATAGCTGGAGTTCTGTTATGTTGTGACAGCAATAGGAGCTTATTTCACAAATCGGAATTGTTATCGTCAGTTCCAGATAGGACCTCAAGTAGGTATTGAAAATCTAAATAATGTTTCTTTCAAGCTATCACTGTCGCAAACCATTTTTTTTTAGAGCTCTATACATTTTTCAGATAATCATTGAAACTCAGCGATATTTCATAACATGGAAAACGTGAGAAAACGCGTTACATAACCTACTTTGAATGATCCAATGCAATATGTCCGCAAGTTATTTATTTCTGAGATACAGATATTCGAAGTTTGATTCTTTTTTTTTGTTTTTTTTGTGAATAAATAAAAAAAAAATGATATTCGAGTGAAATTTGGTATCTGACCAGGAGTTTTGTAGTTTATTTACATATAACCGAAATAACAATCAATAAATTTGACACTCTGTGTCTCATGAAACGAATAACTGAACATATGTTTGTAAAGTATATCCAATATCAATTGCAGAATATCCCGCACTGTGCGGCGTCGGCGTGTTTGAAGTTTTCTTTGAAGTGACTGCAGGTGCGGCACAAGATTCTGCAATTGTTTTTGGATAAACTATACGAACTTCTCTTCATTTCGACGTCAGCAACATGCTTCTGAATTATTTAGATGTACTTAAGAAACATCCTGTTTATGATTTGACCTAGATATCCATTCTCTATATTTCTGTGCAACAAGTCTGACTGTCATTTTTAACAGAATATGAAATGAATATTCTGAACCGAATAATTACTGCAGATAACAGAGAACACAACACATAACTGAAGAATAGGAATAGGAGCATAGTCATATTGAAACTCATATAAGGTATAATTTCACACTTGTAATCAATTCAGCAACGACGAAATATATGTGGTTATTTATGCTCTCATTGGTTGTTGAGGCTTAAAGAGGAATAGTTATATCAAATAACTGATGAAAGTATTTGTGATGATTTCAAATAACGATGAGTGATTGCGTCAAATACTATTTATACCTACTCAGAATGATCATTACCTATGGAATAAGGTATGTGGCGTAAATTAGAATAGTATAGGGTGTATACAACCCACAGAACTCATAATCTGAATATCTTATGACTAGAAACGCGCGATCCTATGCCTCCTACGGTTTCACAGCAAAGGACACCGCACGTTTTATAGAGAAAATTGGCCTTCTGTCGAATTGGCTGAATTTTTGTTATGTTATAGTTCAAGACATCCTGAACAAAATGTCCAAATACCAAACTGTTCTAATGGCTAGTTTTGGCGCTGGAGCAGGCCGCTGTAATCTCAATCTCGATTTCTTTTCTCCTGATGAATAATGCTCTTTGAGCCAATATTATATTCCATTTTGAAAGGATAAGTCAGTACTAGTAGTATTCATCAATATTGTTGCTACTGGTCAACAGTTTGTGTTCCAAATATCTCAATATTAATGTGATGATGTTTTTTCTTGTCAAGATTTGAGACATAACCTGAGGTATAACATTTGTAACTATATAAAAAACTGTTCTTTGTGGAAATTTTCATTCA